GTCATCCACAACCATTCTGCATTCAACTCTGTTTTGGGCAGTCGCTTCCAGTTGTTTGTATTTGCTATTCATCCTTTCAATATCTGCTTCCAATTCTTTCGACTTCCTCTTTCCCGTTTCCTTTCAGAATTCCAAGTTAGTGATGTTACATGAAATAATTTTTAAAAGTATTATTTATTTTATTACAGCATAATGGATTGTCAATTGTCCTATATGAAACTTATGCTACCTTCCATCTGTTTAAATATATATATATAATACAATCTAGTTCATCATCTTCATCTTACGTTTAATATGTACTACATAATATGATACACATAGGAAATACATTAGTTATAAATAAGATAGTGTCTAACTCAAGTCCATATTGTTTCCATAGATTACAGTTTCTCCGATACCGAAGTTAATCATTAGTACGCACATTACCGATTATTACTATAGCAGTTCTGTAAAGTTTGTTTAAATCTCTCATCTATTTTTATCATTAATTGAAATTACGTTATTTATTAATAATAATTCAATGAATTTATAACTACCTATGAAATTACTTCGTCGATGGAATAATTCAACTTTCTTCCTAATGTTATCACGTTTCTGTTGAGAATATAGTCACCAGACAGTAATTACAATTCGTGATTTTTTGGGGAAAGAAGAATACTAAAGATAACTTCTAAAAATCTTTCATTTCATATAATAAATGTTGCTAGATACGTTGTGTTTGGGTAACTGATCTGAACAAAACAGATATCATTTTTAATGTCATATCATCGTTTAGACAGAAATACACATTTCCATCTAGCTATCATAGTATAAGTTTTTGATTGAGATTATGAACCGAATGATGTTAGACCACCATTGAAAAGCTGTGGGACTCCTCAGCAGTGCGCATCATAGTATAAATTAAAGGAAATACTCTCGTTAAAAATGGATTAAAAGATATCTCTTATAGATATTTCAATAATATAATTATACAAGAAATGCTTCTTAGTCGACATATATAGAATTCTGAGTTCACAGTATTTCAACAAGTTTCCCTTTCTTATTTTTTGATCGATCCTGACAATAAATATTAAGTAATCGCCAATTAGATTATGGCATTTCAGAAATCGACATCTGAATAATCTATATTCTTTTCGATGTATATTGCCAGTCACCACGATGCCTCTGATTGTGCTCGTTCCTGACTTGTACAGCGAAAGGTCGTGAAATTTTCACAAACGCACCTGAATAGGTTGTGTAATTAATTGACATAATTATCTGTTGAAACAAACAAAAGACGGATAACTTGTTGAAATATATAATAATGGCAAAAACAGGTAGCCCTGATATACAAATAAGCCGCTAATATCTTTTCTAAAGAGAACTTTATTATAAGCAAACTTTAGTGATCGAACATTTAAAGATAATACTGAGTTTGAACAGCTGTTCTCCTTTTTTTAAGGGTCCTTTTCATTATTTACATAGACATTTTAAAATGGGGGATAGATGTATGATCAGATATATTACACGGTAAACACTATAATAATCGCCCATCTAACCAAGATTTGATCTCTTGAATTTTAAAATCCAAAAAAATGTTCAGTAGATACGCTTTAATGTACAAGGCAAACCTTCATCTTTATCGTTTTATTTATTGACTACACAATATCTATCTCCATAATCAGCTTCTTTCTCTTTCATAATTAATTGTTAAATGACATTCGGAATTATTTGAATGATATTGAATTGTAAAATTGAGTTCCATTTATCCACATACATATATCACTATCTACACTATATCAGTATCATATTGTTCTATATTAAACTGAATGATTCTCATTATATTTGTTATTTTAATTATGTCTATTTTATTTATTGATATTCAATGTTCCATATTACGATCAATTTCATGAGATCATTGACAAGTGACAATTGACATTGCCTAACTAACATCAATGTAAATATTCAAATAAATAATATTAACAAAAAAAAACAGTTAGATACATTTGTATATTTCACTTTGTTATTGTACTACATGTACACATATACCATGTGTATTTGTGTACTTTGTATGTTTGTATAATATTTGAAACCGGAGAACCGGAATCTACGAAAATTCAAACCCGCACATAAAACTTATTAACTATGATAAGAGTTGATAAGTTGTTGTTTTTATTCTCTGATTGACATCCATTATTGATTGACTATTGAAATAGAAAGGGAAAATGACTAGAAATATGTGTATTATGGTTGTAACAGATAGGATCTAATGAAAATGTAACTTATTTACTTACTAACTTACTTACGCCTGTTACTCCCAATAAAGCATAGGCCGCCGACCAGCATTCGCCAACCCACTCTGTCCTGGGCCTTCCTTTTCAGTTCTGTCCAATTTTCGTTCATAGCTGTTAATAAACACTTGTATCTTCTGGATGATAACTTTCGTAGTTCTTCAGATTTCCACCCTATACAGTAGAACTGTGTTTTACATTTGTATTGAAAATGTAACACTATTCAATAATTCTATGAGTTATAGTAATAAAAAAATATGATAATAGACAGTTGAGTTAATGGATATAATTTTGTCCGTAAAAGTGTAATGTGCTACATCCAACTTCGTACTTATCATATTTGACCAACAATTTGTGCACTTATGTAGAATATAATATGCATATCCTTTTATTTATATGAGTAAGTAGTTTTTATGACGAACATATCCATGAATAAATTACACATGAAGCATGTCATGGTGAATACCAAAAGTTAAATGAAGAACATATTTTCCTGGAACTTTCTATTGTCTTCACTAATACATATTCATGACTCCATACACCAGTCAAGTGAATATTCATAAAGCTGATGAAAAGATTGAATTAACTTAATAGTCTATTTACTAAATAGTAGGATAACACTTATATGTAATAATTTGATATAAATTGGATAAGGCAAAATAATAATATTCTGTACAGTCTGCTTGTTTACTGTTAAGAATTCCCAATACAAAATATGAAATGCAACAACGATTTCCTCTCTTACATTAATTTAACTTAAGAATAACCAAAGTAGATAGACAATAAAGTTTTCCCGTAGTGGTTATTTGTTCTTCAATTTCATCCCATAAATCCTATGATCAATTGAATTTGTTTGAAAATGTCCAGTGCTTCCAAGTTTTCAATTGTGGTGGTCTAACATCAATCGGTTCATGATCTCAATCAAAAACTTGATACAAGAATGTCAATGAAATTTTTTCACGTTCCTCCGAAAGAGCGACAAATAGAAAAAAAAGACTTTAAACACGGTTATATATATATATATTGCAGGTTAAAACATTCTATAAGTTGTTCGTATACATAAAATAATTAATTCAACAATATCGAAAGAAAAGTTCTGTTCATATCGTTTTTACTTAATTTTGATATGAAATTATGAATAAAAAAGCTTAATTTACTCAAAACTGATATCTTTCTTGGTGATCCCCAATCAACTCTGTCACTAACTTTCTTCTACAGTTGTTGGAAAGTGCTACTCGTAGTCTTAATTTATCCCTCTGATTTTGGACGCCATAATTTATTTGGTTTGACGCTTCCCCTTCAGTGATTAGGATTCTGAGTTGGGACATATCTTATGATGTAGTTTCGTGATTTCCACGAAGTGTGTGTCCTATACACTCTCAACAACATAGTCAGTCATCACTGATGACATCTGGCCAATGGATGTGGAGTATCTTGAGTAGAAAACTGTTCATAAATACGTGTACATTCTAGGTGATATCAGTAATGGTCCTCCAATTTCCAGTTGAGTACAATAGAACTGTTTTAATATTGGTTTTGTTCACTGTGACTTCGGTGTTGTATGACAGTCATTTCGAGTTCCGTATAATCTTCGACTTTAAGAGTGCTACCCTTGCTTTATCGATTCGGGCTCTGACACCCTTATCAAATCCTTCTTGTTTGTTGACGGTGCTCTAGAGCTTCCTTGTCAATTATGATTCGGTTTGTGCTCACTGGGTTGTACTCAAATTTGACGTTTAGGTTTCCTGTCAGGATAATTAGGTATTTTCCTCAGTATTTTTTAAAAATTGATTCCAACTTCATTTTAAATTCGTCTTTATCATTGTATAATAGTGGTTGACATGCATCGTTATCCTATCTTTCTTTGTTTTTTTAAAGATGTTTCAATGATCCCGGAGCTATGAGTTTCTCATACAATGAGTGATTTTCGTACTTCTTTGGACAGCACCAATGCAAATTTTTGTATGTGATCCATTTTCTTTTTCGAAACCACAATATAATAACAGCTTTTCTGTAGTCCTTTTTTCATCGTCAGATTGTATTTTTCTAGTCCCACTGTTACTTGAATGATGCTTCTTGTCTCGAAAATTGTTTAGACATTGTATGTACCTATATTAAGAGTTGGTCTAGTTTTTAGGACGGTAATCTACTTCGTGGCATCTGAAAAACTTCACCTTTCATTATGGGACATCATAACTTTTCAGTATGAATACCGTTCTCCTACAAGTGTAGAGTTTATTTGGTTTTTTCTGGTGGTACTGGTTCTATTTTAAGAGATGGCGTTACTGACCCAATCCTCCTGATTTTCTAAGGCTTTGGACCCGAGCAACCTTAGAGAGGTTTCAAACTAAATTTCATGATGGTGAATACTACCACTGCCTCTAATAATATTATTACTACCAATTATTATTATTATTATTATTATTATTATTATTATTATTATTATTAGTGTAGTTCATCATTTTGAAATCCCTTAACATTATTCACCTACCAAACGGTAAAATCAAATCACGCATTACCGTATAGTCGACAGTGAAAGATGCTTTTAGATCTGAACCATATTCATATTCTATTCTATTCATTAATAGTCGTTTCCCCTTACTTCGTTCAGCCCCTCTCCGTGTCAGTAAGATTCCCAATCACAAGCACGAATATAGTACATCAGTGTTATCCTACAATACCCTTTAAAACTAATAGAAAACTTCACTTATCTTAGCTCTAAAATCTTATTTACCTTATATATATGGTTGTGTATGATTGTTTTTCATTTCCATCTGGCGCCCATATGTCTATTAATTGATAAGCGGTCGCGTGTTGTACGTTATAGCCCAATTCTTTACTTTTAGTGGAATCTGTAGTAGTAGTAGTAGTAGTAGTAGTAGTAGTAGTAGTAGTAGTAGTAGTAGTAGTAGTAGTAGTAGTGGTTTCAGGCGTTATTGTATAACGATTTATCAATGGATCTACAATTAAATGTTTTATTATATATAATTGAGGTTTCTTTATTTTGTCATATTCATTTGTGGACGCTATTCTCATATAATAAACACTTAACTAATATAAATGCTACTTGATTAGTGTGCGCTTGTTTATGGTCAAGAGAGAACCAAAATATAAGGGAGGTTTGCTAAAAGAGGAATATTAAAGCAACTGTTGCTTTTTGTAATTTCCCATACGTGAGAATTAACAAAAACAAATAGGTTTTTTGACTACTTATGTTTATTTCTAAGATGATCAAACATAAATACAAATATGTATTCAGGTCAATATAAAGTCGGAAATTAATAAGAGTAGTCAAATCAGTATGATATTAGATAAAAAGATTGTTATTTTTTATGTACCTGTATGTATTTGTAGTCGTACAAAGGGGAACATAGTTCATAGTTTTATGCTCTTCTCCGATGCTCAAACTAAACAGATCAGACAAATTAAATCTTAATAATGTCAGGGTTGATTGAAGTTAAGCATGTGTGCCATTGAATCCTGGATCAGTAGTCTAGCATGTACGCTCTCACAGCTAGTCCATAGTTAGTGGGTTCAATTTCTGGTGAGGTTATGGATCCCTACTACCGTGAAGTTCTATACTAGGACGAAATAGTTATCTAGTGTGTTCTGATTTTTAATACTTTTCTAATTAATATCAATTTGTGATGGTAACCTTAAAAGATACTAATCAAATGAAATATAATCGGACTAGTTTTTGAAGATTTAAACATGATCAATAATAAAGTAAGACTATTTGAGAAATTTTTATTGAATTTAATAGACTGTGTAAACAACCATGGAACAGATGATGTCAATTAACTTATATTTGATCATTGATATTTTCTATTTATATGATGAATAGTTGAATCCAATTGAAAGGAAAGTCAGTAACTATTATATGAAACCGATAGATTAATGAATAATCGATTGACATTTGAAGAGATAAACATTGAATCCAACGTGAATATCATGATATGGATTCAAATTGATGTTTGTAATGAAAATCGTTAAAAGAATTTAAATACATTTATTCATTAACATTAGTCGAAAAACCATTGCAAATCATTAAATCATTGACAGGTACATCATTGAAGTGTATAACTCTCAAAGTTTCCTACTTTCTATATAAATATTTGTATTTTCCCGTTGTTAGTTTAAGAGACTGGAAGTAATCAGACTATATTGAAATAAGTCCATCGTGAACGTATTATCTAGCGTACCTTGAATCCCCCTGAAGTTTAATATTTACCTTTAATAAAAAAATGCCTATTTTCTGTTCAATCTGTTCATTTATCTCATCAAGTGATGCATTCCAGTGATGAAAATCATTTTCAAATTAACTAGATCTTATTCTGATTAAATAGTGATCAGATAAAGCAAATGATTTGATGAAATGTCATTTTGATGATTATGCGTAACGATCGATAGAACATCTAACTGATAACTTTGATTTTTTTTTTCTTCTTTCAATTCTTACCACTATTTCAAAGGCATTCTTCAGTCTTTGATGATCATTGACCTATGAACTGAACTTACTTTGTTGCACCTAGTTCATACATTAATATGTAACCTACTTCTCTACAAATTTATCAATCTATAAGTTAGTTCTTATACTGAAATAAAATCGATTTGAAGCACTTTACATTTTATTAATTAACATGAAAGTACAATCAGACCTTAGTTACAATATATGTATATACACTAAATATGATATACGCTTCTTTTTTTTCACTTATGGAAATCAATAAACATTGGAAATTTCACAGCACCTATCATGTACATGCATGTAAACATTAAGGAATAATGAAATCATATAGACGCTGTCAACCCCATTTTATCATACCTTTCGAGACAACAAAGATGCATAATATTATTAATAATAGTAATAATAATGATGATTATTATATTATGATTATTATTATTATAACAAACAAATCAGAAACATTTCATTAGGGAATAATAATAGTGATATATTAGAGATTTAAACTTTAACAACTGAAGCCAAACAAAGTTTGATTCAATCTATCCAACTATATATATAATGTAATGACAATTCATGTTTGTATGATGATTGATTTCTCTACAAATCACTAGATCAATGAACATATTATTCAAATAAGGAAATCATGTACACATTTGGGGAACGACTATGTTTCCTTTTTTAATCACTCAATATTTACAATAGACAATTGAATAATGGGTTTTGAAATCAATCAAATTGATTAATGAAGAATACCTTTAAAAAACATTGATTTAAATACTCCAAAAATGATACTTTTTTAATATGTATAAAGTAACCTAGACTAATCATCACGAATTAGACGTGCGTGTTAAACTGTACCATAGGAACAAAATGACAATGGTACTGATAACGCAACAAGAAAATGACTAGTAAAATATTATTTATTAAGGTCCCGATATCTTTTTTTCATAACTATTATTACACTTTGAATAACGGTAAGACGGATTTTAAGCTTATTTGATGAATTTACAACATGATTATCACGAACATCAAATGACGTTTTCGATTGCATCATGATTAAATTTTTCAGAATGCTTAACAGAATGGGCTGTATTGACAGTCAGTTATAATGAATTATTATTGAGTTGAAATAAGTGAATTGGTATGAGCTTTTGTCATACTCATAACCCCAACATGGTGATGTTCCAGCTATTTAAGTTCGATGAAGCCTAACTCGGTAAAGTCGATTGGCTTATCTGGAATATACACCATTTTATGAGGCTCACAATCCCACCACGTGGATGTGATTGAGTGAGGAGATTCATAACACCGCAACTTCAAGCGCACGCATCGCAACATCGGGCAACCACACGTCACATGAACACCAACAGCACGTATGTTCATTCATCCATCTCATAGCACTCATATATAGGTAGATTTACTCACCTGAGAGTGTCATCACACACTACACCCTTCCAACCTATTCATTACAACTCACTGCCACTTATGCATTACATGCACACCACCACTACAGACACTCCCACCCTGACGTGGCATCACATACACATAAGCATAAGCACTCTCAGGGAGAGTTCATGGTCGTCTCTCCTTTTCTCTGTTTCCCTCTAGTATTTACAACCATGTATTTTCATTATGTTTTCCACCTTATGTATTAGACCACTGATTTCATTAGACATAGGACAGATATTAAAATGAAGAATATATTTGTAAAATCTCAGCGAATGAATTTTAAGTAAATCCAACGTTTCGCCTGGCAATCTGGTCCAAGCTTTTTCAAGGAAAATATAATCAAACAACAAAATTATCGAATATAAATAGGTACATGGTTCTCTGGTTTATTGTATACTGAATAAGTCATCCAATCAACGTGAAGTATTTTCATAAATATGTATTTGTATTAATGTGTAAGAGACATGTTTATATGAAAATTAATAAAGGTCAAATAATAAAAGTCCATTGGAAAATAATCAAGAGGAGAGAAATTGTCGTGTTATCCTAGGTCATAGAATGAATTAAGGATTACAAGGTAAATTCAAGGTTATGACAAATTGTTTTGTTCACATAAGGACAAGGTATGTGTTAAGATAACATAATGTGTGTATATATGAAATGAATCAAAAATGCCACAGACTGCATTAAATGATGATAAATAAGATAAGTAAACAAAATAAAAGAGGAATGTATATGTAATTGAAGGTGTGTGTTATTTTTAAAAAGTTCCAGTCAATTGTCATAAATATATCAAATGGCAAAACGGAGATCAGGTTTACTTATTAATTATTAGTTGCCATGGGACAAAACAATTGTTATTATGAAAGCAGACAAGGGAAACACCACTGTGGTTATGAACAATTCTGACTATGAAAGAAAAGTCAATGAACATCTCCATAATGGACCGTATGAAAAAATCATGAAGAGCAAATGTAGAGCCACTTTAAATAAGTTGAAAGCTGAAACGGCCAAATTACTACAGAATTTAAAGCCAAAGCTAGGTTCATCTTTATGGTTCTCTTTATATCCAAAAAGCAATAACCCGTGTAGATTTTATGGCCTACCAAAAATACACAAAACAGATGTACCATTAAGACCAGTGGTTGATTACATTAATTCACCAACTTATAATCTTTCTAGATACTTGGCTAAAATTCTTAAACCATATGAAAGCGTAATAAAATATGGAATAAAAAATTCTAATGATTTCAAAAACATTGTAAGTAATATTCGGATAGAAGAGGATGAAATAATGGCAAGTTTTGATGTTTGCTCATTGTTCACTAATGTTACTGTTAAAAAAGCTTTAGATATTGTGTATAACTTGTTAGACTCTGATATTGAACTTAAACAACGCTGCCTTCTAGGCCCATCAGACATTATTAGAGCGTTGGAGCTTTGCTTGCATTCAACTGTTTTCATTTTTCGAGGAGTTCTGTACCGACAAAGAGAAGGTGTGGCTATGGGATCACCTGTCTCGCCAATTGTGGCTAATTTATTCATGCATTCATTGGAAACAATTGCTATCTCAATGTGTTCCATTCCACCAAAAATTTGGATAAGATACGTAGATGATACTTTTGTCATTATAAAACGAGATGGTTTAGACGAACTATTCCAACGGTTCAACAGCTTAGATGACAAAATCAAGTTTACTAAAGAGTTGGAATCGCCTGAACGTAGATTACCTTTTCTAGACTGCCTGGTTGAAAGGAAGGATAATGCTTGTTTAAAAATTAATATATTCCGAAAACCTACATATTCAGGGAAATTTTCAGATTTTAAGTCTGCGCATCCACACGCGACCAAAGTGACAGTGGCCAAAAATTTGATCACCAGAGTCAAAAAACTTGTCACTGAACCAAATGATTTAAAAATGGAAATGAATTTAGTTGTATCCACTTTATTAATGAATAATTATCCGAAAGCTTTTATAAAAAGAATAATTAAGAATGAAGAACGTAATGATATGTTTAAAAAAAGAGTTAAGCAAGATTGGTTGAACACAGTAGTGATCCCATATCGTAAAGGTATCTCAGAAGACATCAGAAGGATTTTAATTCGTCAAAATATAAGAGTATTCTTTCGAACAAACAATAATCTAAGATCAAAACTAGTAAGAATCAAAGATCCAATACACAAGGATGATCAACAGAATTGTGTTTACGAAATCAAATGTAATGATTGTAATGCAACGTATGTAGGTGAAACATCAAGGCAACTGAATGTGAGGGTGAAGGAACACAAACTGTGCTTAAAGCACATTCCTAAATCCTCAATTGATGTAAAAAAGCTTGAGAACAGATCAGCGATAGCATTACACTGTCAACAACATAGTCAGTCATTACTGATGACATCTGGCCAATGGATGTGGAGTATCTTGAGTAGAAAACTGTTCATAAATACGTGTACATTCTAGGTGATATCAGTAATGGTCCTCCAATTTCCAGTTGAGTACAATAGAACTGTTTTAATATTGGTTTTGTTCACTGTGACTTTGGTGTTGTATGACAGTCATTTCGAGTTCCGTATAATCTTCGACTTTAGGAGTGCTACCCTTGCTTTATCGATTCGGGCTCTGACACTCTTATCAAATCCTTCTTGTTTGTTTCATGATGGTGAATACTACCACTGCCTCTAATAATATTATTACTACCAATTATTATTATTATTATTATTATTATTATTATTATTATTATTATTATTATTATTAGTGTAGTTCATCATTTTGAAATTCCTTAACATTATTCACCTACCAAACGGTAAAATCAAATCACGCATTACCGTATAGTCGACAGTGAAAGATGCTTTTAGATCTGAAACATATTCATGTTCTATTCTATTCTATTCATTAATAGTCGTTTCCCCTTACTTCGTTCAGCCCCTCTCCGTGTCAGTAAGATTCCCAATCACAAGCACGAATATAGTACATCAGAGTTATCCTACAATACCCTTTAAAACTAATAGAAAACTTCACTTATCTTAGCTCTAAAATCTTATTTACCTTATATATATGGTTGTGTATGATTATTTTTCATTTCCATCTGGCGCCCATATGTCTATTAATTATTTAGCAATTTTTTCTTATTTCTCTTAACTATTTATTGATAAGCGGTCGCGTGTTGTACGTTATAGCCCAATTCTTTACTTTTAGTGGAATCTGTAGTAGTAGTAGTAGTAGTAGTAGTAGTAGTAGTAGTAGTAGTAGTAGTAGTAGTAGTAGTAGTAGTAGTAGTAGTGGTTTCAGGCGTTATTGTATAACAATTTATCAATGGATCTACAATTAAATGTTTTATTATATATAATTGAGGTTTCTTTATTTTGTCATATTCATTTGTGGACGCTATTCTCATATAATAAACACTTAACTAATATAAATGCTACTTGATTAGTGTACGCTTGTTTATGGTCAAGAGAGAACCAAAAGATAAGGGAGGTTTGCTAAAAGAGGAATATTAAAGCAACTGTTACTTTTTGTAATTTCCCATACGTGAGAATTAACAAAAACAAATAGGTTTTTTGACTACTTATGTTTATTTTTAAGATGATCAAACATAAATACAAATATGTATTCAGGTCAATATAAAGTCGGAAATTAATAAGAGTAGTCAAATCAGTATGATATTAGATAAAAAGATTGTTATTTTTTATGTACCTGTATGTATTTGTAGTCGTACAAAGGGGAACATAGTTCATAGTTTTATGCTCTTCTCCGATGCTCAAACTAAACAGATCAGACAAATTAAATCTTAATAATGTCAGGGTTGATTGAAGTTGAGCATGTGTGCCATTGAATCCTGGATCAGTAGTCTAGCATGTACGCTCTCACAGCTAGCCCATAGTTAGTGGGTTCAATTTCTGGTGAGGTTATGGATCCCTACTACCGTGAAGTTCTATACTAGGACGAAATAGTTATCTAGTGTGTTCTGATTTTTAATACTTTTCTAATTAATATCAATTTGTGATGGTAACCTTAAAAGATACTAATCAAATGAAATATAATCGGACTAGTTTTTGAAGATTTAAACATGATCAATAATAAAGTAAGACTATTTGAGAAATTTATATTGAATTTAATAGACTGTGTAAACAACCATGGAACAGATGATGTCAATTAACTTATATTTGATCATCGATATTTTCTATTTATATGATGAATAGTTGAATCCAATTGAAAGGAAAGTCAGTAACTATTATATGAAACCGATAGATTAATGAATAATCGATTGACATTTGAAGAGATAAACATTGAATCCAACGTGAATATCATGATATGGATTCAAATTGATGTTTGTAATGAAAATCGTTAAAAGAATTTAAATACATTTATTCATTAACATTAGTCGAAAAACCATTGCAAATCATTAAATCATTATTTATTTGACTTGTATTCATATTCAATTAACGCTTAATTCACTTTAATGTGTCATGTAAGTAAGTAATGGGTGAAGAATCAATAATCGTTTTTTCTTCCAAAAACAATAAAACGTTAATTTTCTTTCAGACAGAATAATAATAATAATAATAACACTAGAAACTGGAAATGTCGATACATTTTTGTCTGAAATGTATTCTATGCGCTTTTTTTTTATTTTCTTAAAATCCTTTATATTTTCCACCAGACATTGATTCCCCATGATGTTGTAATCTATATACTCAATGTTTCATTTTTAAATTATAAAAGTACGTGACATGGAATCATTGACAATGTTATTATTGTTATTATTACCAGGATGATAATAATCATAATGATGATGATGATGATGATGATGATGATGATGATGATGATGATGATGATGATGATGATGATGATGATGATGATGATGATGATGATGATGATGATGATGATGATGATGATGATGATGATGATGATGATGATGATGATGATGATGATGATGATGATGATGATGATGATGATGATGATGATGATGATGATGATGATGATGATGATGATGATGATGATGATGATGATGATGATGATGATGATGATGATGATGATGATGATGATGATGATGATGATGATGATGATGATGATGATGATGATGATGATGATGATGATGATGATGATGATGATGATGATGATGATGATGATGATGATGATGATGATGATGATGATGATGATGATGATGATGATGATGATGATGATGATGATGATGATGATGATGATGATGATGATGATGATGATGATGATGATGATGATGATGATGATGATGATGATGATGATGATGATGATGATGATGATGATGATGATGATGATGATGATGATGATGATGATGATTTGAATGTATCAAATTTTGGTAAATCTTTTTTTAAATATTCTTGTCTATAATTTTGTTAAATTATTTTTACCGGGTTTACTTACGTATTAATGAAAAATATTTAATATTATCATTATGACGTGATCGTATATGTAAGTGTAATGATGATTCTTGCATCAATGTTACACCACAAGCAGAACATGAATAAGTTTTATCACCTATTTATTTTTTTTAAAAAACGAAAAGAAACAAAACAGAAAAATGAAAATGAGAAATGTTATTTCAGAAGGGTTGTGGATATTATAGTAATTTTAATAGTTGAGATCACGAGTCATTTGAAGCTAGATCACCATGGAAAATCTGGAAGCACTAGACGACCCAGTTGAACTCCACTGAGTGATAGTAACTCACTGAAGACATTAGTAAACAGTGGAATAATTTCGTGGATTGGTTGAAGTTGAATGGTGGTTGGAGGTACTCGACAGGGAACCCCACATTGCAACATGGTTGATAGCATTCGATCTGCACTAATAAGGACTAGACACGCAATCAATTGTGCTTGAAGTTAGACATTATCATCATTGGATACCGAGTCAGTGGTCTACAGATTGAGTGCTCGCGCGGGAGACTAATAGGTCCCGTGTTTGAATCTCATGGAGTAAGGTCGTGGCTGGGCGCTGCTGAGGAGTCCCAACATAGGAGGAAACGGCAATTCAGTGCTTCCAGGTTTTCCATAGTGATCTAGCTTCAATTGATTCATGATTTCAGTTATTAAAATGGTAATACCTTTTGTTGACCTTAATAATTAAATACGTTTAACTATCAATTTTATGTAAAATTAAAGGTAATTAGATGAATAGTTTTGATGGAAATTACTTTAAAGCTAGTAAGTCATGAGTATTTGTTTTGTCTAACTTTAAGGTTCTTCAACAGTGAGGAATCACTGATTGATAAAAAACATTTGGGTCTAGTGGTGGGCAAGATAACACTGAACAATTGTGTTCGTTTTCAGAAGTCTATATGATCAATTACAATCAATGCATAATATTGTATAATATTCATCTTATACCATCAATGATCTTTGTCTTACTTTCAACACAGTTTAACTCACAATTAATTGATCACTGTGTAGTGATCACTGACATGTTTGACTAGCCCTTTAATGCTAATCTCATTTAGTTGATCAAACTGCAATATGACTTTGTAACTTGAAAGCACATGAAGTATGCTGAGATAGTAAGTGGTTTGAAATTGTTGGCATGATACCCAACAAGGTGCATCATTTCTTTTTAAACTGTAAATAAACTTTTACAAAATTATGTAAACTAATACTAAACTTATCACTGAAGTTTCCTACCAACTATCTTCGAGTGTTTACCAAGATCAAAATCAATCAGTCACAATATTTTATATGTGATAAAAATTAACTTCAAAACAGGAATGAATGAAAAAGGAAGTCTTTGGTTGGAGTCCCTTTGGTCCCTTTGGCACTGATAAAGAGTTACATACTAGAACAAAACGGTTAGATTCAAACACGGAACTTATTAGTCTCCCACGCGAGCTCTTAATCTCTAGACCACGGAGTCGGCAGTCGATGGTGTTAATGTCTAATTTCAACCAATCCATAAAATTAAGCGACACATTCACCATTGTCTTCATTGAGTTACTACAATATCCACAAAAGCCTTTCTGATATTTATTTATTATTCACTGATTCTAGCAAAACTAGTAAATTCCTTAATATGATCACGAATAATGAATAGAAATTTAAAACAAAACAAAATGATAAAAGCAGAGAGATAAATGAACTACACAAACAAGAGAGTGAGAGGTCAGATATTACTAAGAGAGAAAAGAACAACTTCAAAGATAATTTATACGAAAATCCGTCAGTTTTCACTTCGAATAGATATATATACATATCACTTTAATTGTTTTCTATTTGTTTCCTTTAAAGGTACAAATAAAATAAACAATAACAGGTCATATTATTAGAAGAGAGTGTACATTCATGTGTTATTAGTAAGCAAAGAAGATAAATCTTCATTTATTTGTGATACCCTTTTTATGAAAATCATGATTTATTATGGTTATTTACTTATATCCATGACAGCGTTAATGAAAATGAATAAGAGAAGAATAAAGAATACTTGAATAAATTACTCATTTTTATCAATAAATAACTTTGATAATCAATGAATTGTTATCGGAATGGGGGTTTGTGGAAACCATAGTAACTGTAATAGTTGAATTCATGAGTCGATTTAAGCGAGATCACCATGAATAAACCTAGAACCACTAGACAGACGTTTCATTCTGGTATAAGACTCCTCATCTGTGTGCACCCACGATGCCACACGCGGGAATCAAACTCAGGACCTTCAGTTTCGCACGTGAACGAATGAACTTTAGACCAATGAGCCAGACGGCATCCAACGGTGTTAATGTCTAACTTCAATCAATCTACAATATTCAGTAAACCGTCTACAATCGTCTCCGCTGGTCACGACTTCTCACCAGAACTCCAGGGAATACATCTTGAAGCCGTGACTAGTGGAGTTTAACCGTATTTGCTGTGACGCAATTACTGAAGAAAATTTTGAATAGTCGCGCACTGTCATGCATTAGTTGGAGTTAGAAACCAACCCAATTGGATGCCGGTTCAGTAGTCTACAGGTTAAGCGTTCACGTGAGAAACCAAAAGTCTTTGGTTGGAGTCCCTTTGGTGTGGGATCATGGATGAGCACTGATAAGGAGTTTCATACTAGAACAAAACAGTCGTCCAGTAATTCCAGGTTTTCAATAATGTTCTAGCTACAATTGACTGATGAATTCAATTATTGAATCAACAAATTGCTTATAGGATTTCATTCTACTCATAGTTATTCTTTTTGAATGATGATGACACTGAAGAAATTAGCTACATAGAAGAGGCATCTAGTAAAATTATATTAAAAGTAAGTAGATTATTATTAAAATCTAATATATATTAACGTGTCTTTCTTAATGATTTATTTTTCACACAGACCATACATAATACGATGGATTCTAATGTGAATAGATTACTTTTGACGAAGTTATTTCTTAAATATATAACAACTATCCAATGCTTCCATGTTTTCTATGGTGATTTAAACTCAATTGACTCATGAAGTTAACTATTAAAAATTACTATAATCTCCACAAACCCACCATCACCGCCACCATCACCACCACCACCATCACCATCACCACCACCATTCTCTAAATATATAACTATTTTTAATGTAATAAAATTTATTAATTTGAAACATACACTTAAAAATGAAAATGAATTATGGTTATCGGATGGAGACTACGAATGTATTAACAATAAGAGGGATAATGATAATCATACTGGCTTACTGGTAAACTTTCCAACATAATACTAATATGTTATTTATCACTTACTTGACTATTGAGTAGTAATATTCACAATTGAATGTATTGCCCGTTTTTTATTTACCATTGCTATTACTAGTATACACATATATGCATTGTCTTATCAAATATAGACATATACAGATGGAAGTCAACTTGACTTGACATCAGTGAACAAAATGGTGTTTTTCCAAGCTCAGTTAACAACAACAAAAGAAAATAGATTAATATGCTACAAGAAATATTTTAAAATTAAGTCATTATATTGGATGAGATGGTAAACTTTAAAAAGGATAGAAGGAATTAAATAATCGTTTATTCATGACCATAAAAGTCAATACTACTACTACTACTACTACTACTAATAATAATAATAATAATAATAAGAAGAAGAAGAAGAAGAAGAAAGAAAAAGAAGAACAAGAACAAGAAGAAGAAATAGAAGAAGAACAAGAAGAAGAGGAAGAAGAAGAGGGAGTAAACAATTATTGCGTAAATAAAGAAATAAATAAACAAAACGTTAAAGTAATTTGTGTGTGTGTGTTGTTCATGTATATCCAATCCCTTTCTTTCAATCATATAGATAATATTACATAAATCTTTATGAGTCATGAAGTATTCAAAGAATATAGAAGATATTTAGGTAGGAAAAAAGTTATCCAAAGCTGTTTACAGATAGATTTCATATTAAAACTTTCTACATTATTTCACATCGATTCAGGTTGAAGAACATTCTTTAGTATAGTGCTGAACAGGTACTACATACCTGTTAGGTTTGATAATGGTGTTCCTCAAAGTATTCCAAGGTGTTTCATCTACTTAATGTTTAAATTTAAATCATCCTAAGCATTAAAGATGAATGAATCGAAAGTTGTAGATTTATAGTTCAGGCTTGTTAATAGAGATTATGATGGCATCTTTGTAATCTTGATACAAAGTATACTAAATATATAAGATTAAAGCTTCAGTCTGTCTGAGATTTGAACACTGAGTCATAGTAACAGGAGAATGATCTATTTTCAAGAGTACATGTTAGATATTATGACCACTGCAGCCTCAATAGCAAGATGGTAACTTTTAAAATTGTGAAGCTGAGTGATTTTTGTTGAAATTACATAGATAGCATGAATTGTTTAAGTGTTACAGATATATTTTGCTGACGACTGTTATGTAGCATGAAACCTTGACCAAACAGGTTTTTCTCCTGAATACTTTCAATCATTTCACATTTTCAATAGGAAAAGTACATTGGTAATTGACAGATGTTTGTTTTCAGCCAGTTTCTCACATATATATATATATATATATATATATATATATATACGTACACTAGAAAACGTACCACAAAACCTCTGTATTTCACCTTTTTGTATCTATAAAGTTTCATCTAATGATGACTTTTTTTATGAGAAACAGATTAAATGGGACAATATCGCATGTAAATCTGCTTCATTTTTGCAGTATTCAATAATGGTGACATGTTTTAATATTTGTAGAAAGAAACATAGATAAATAATGCGGTAAACAGACATTATAATGATATTAGGTGGAAGAAAGTAGTTACCAGAAAACTCTCTTACGTTTGTGTTCTGTCCCCGTTGTCATTCGTCATTAAAATGTATTTATAATGCTTTTTATGCTTTGAACTCACTTTACGCAATGTTTCAGTCAGTGCCACTATCACTAAACTAATTGCAAGATTTAAACAGCTGCAATATAGACGTTATATATATATATATATATATATATATATATATATATATATATATATATATATATATATATATATATATATATATATATATATATATATATATATATAATAATAACTAGGACCAAATGAAGATTATAAACCTGTATGAGGAATTAGAATTATGATTTACAGTTAGTGGTTTAGGTTAAAAACTAGATTTAGGGTTTTCATCACGAACTGACATTAGCTAAGATGCCAAAATATTATTTTACCAAATGAATGAATGAATTTCGTGCCAAAATCTAAGACCTGTTATCGTTTACTTGATTGATTCGCCCATAAACTATAGTTTTTGATGGATTTCTGTTCACTAAGCTGTATGGTTTGGTAGTGAAGCTTTCATCGCTATTCTGAACGACATCATAAGCACAAACGTCTAGTAGATAAAAGCTCCACGACCAAATCATCCAGCTCAGAGAACGAAACTCCGTCAAAATAATTCATCCCATTGGCAGTTCATTAGAGGTTTGTATCTTACACTTTTTGGTAGAACATGCTAACGAAGACAGTCTTAGAGAAAATACAATTGTTCTCAAATGGACTTCTACCTGAAGTTTGTGCTGATGATGTCATTCAGAAGAACTATGTAAGCTTCAAGACTAAACCATTCAGCTCAGAGAACAAAACTACATTAAAATCATTCACATGAGCTATAAATCTTCTCCACCATCTCTCACCATATTCATTCACATGGTCTAGTGCTGGCATTTAGTTCATACTTTAAAGATTCCGTTTCAAATGTTTTTTTTTCTACTTAAGTTTTACATCATATATACATTTAATACCTTAAAATCTACATAAATCATATTTCATATTCATTATAAACGAACTGGCAAAGCAAGGACAGCATTCCTACAGTTAAAGAACATATGGAATTCAAAACAACTTTCAACCAATATCAAAGTGAGAATCTTCAATACCAACGTCAAGGCAGTTCTACTGTATGGAGCTGAAACTTGGAAAACTACAACAACCACCATCAAGAAGGTACAAGTATTTATAAATAGCTGTCTACGCAAGATACTCAACGTCCATTTGTCGGATACCATCAGCAATAGCCTTCTGTGGGAGAGAACAAACCAACTTCCAGCTGAAAAAGAAATTAGGAAAAGACGATGGAAATGGATAGGACATACATTACGCAAACCGTCAAACTGCACCACGAGGCAAGCGCTAACTTGGAATCTTGAAAGGAAGCGAAAAAGTGGAAGGCCAAAGAACATATTGCGTCGGATAATAGAAGCAGATATGAAAACGATGAATTACAACTGGACGGAGCTAGAAAGGATTGCCCAGGACAGGGTTGGATGGAGAATGCTGGTGAGCGGCCTATGCTCCTTCACGAGTAGTAACAGACGTAAGTAAGTAAGTAAGTATAAACGAACTCATGAAGAAACAACGATTATTTCAAATGACAACGAATTGTCTGTTTCTTCTTCTTCTTCTTCTTCTTCTTCTTCTTTCATTTAAAAGTAAACAGAAAACATACATAGAGAAATTAATGAATTTATGATAGATGTCTGTATATTTTTTTTCTTTTTCAATTTTCATTTTAGTCAAGTGTAAATGAAATAGATACATAATAAATTGTCATTAATTTTGGGTTGTTTAGTTGGTTGCTTGGTCGGTTGTTTGATTTCAATATTCAATAATCATTCAATTGAATGAAAACTAGTTAATTAAGTTCTAATTCCAAAAAACAAAAACAAAAAAACACAAAGTGAGGTGGATACAAATTATTGATTTCTATTGAAAAATATATTATGAATTTCAAATGAATAAATGGATTATGTAATCAGTTAATGAATTTGTATATCGATTAGTTACATTTAAATGAATAGAATTTGATAGTGTGGGTGGGGTGGAGTGAGGAAGGGAGGGGAGGGGAGGGGAGGAGAAAAAGTGAGTTATCAAATGTCTATTTGATTATATTATTAAACTATAAAGTTTAAAGAAGATCAACTCATCATTGTAAATTTTATGTTTGTTTGTGTTTTCTTAAGTGAAAAATTTTTATAATTAAAACTGAAAAAATATGCTTTAATAATGAACACTGATCAATTTGATATCAGAATGGGTTTTATGGTTATTATAGTGATCAATGAAATTCAACTGGGTCTGTTGTGAGATAGTAACACTGAAGACAATGATGGACGGTGGTGCAATTTCGTGGATCGGTTGAAATTAGACATTAACACTGTTGGGTGGCGGCTTAGTGGTCTAGTGGTTAAGCGTTCGCGCGTGAAACCGATAAGTCCTGGGTTCGGATCTCGCGAGGCAGGGTTGTATTTGCTCACTGATGGGGAGTTCTATGCTAGGATGAAACAAACGCCCAGTGTTTCCAGGTTTTCATGATGGTCTAGCTTCAAACGAATCATGATCTCAACTATTAAAACTTATCCATTTGATTAATATAGAGTTGAAAGAATTCATGACAATGCAACAGTTGGAGATGAGCTTCAGTAAGAAAAATCAAAGCTGAAATGATAGTGAGAATAGACTGTTTTTTCATCATTTATTATTCGGTTTGAAATCACTCTGATTATACTAAATAAAATCTCTATCACAAATTACTGAGTTATTTAATTAAACAAGGTTCACTCTACAAAAAAGACTATTATCAGAATGAAGGTTTGTGGAGATTTAGTCATTTTTAATATTTGAATTCATGAATTGATTTAAGCTGGATCACCATTGAAAACCTGCGCACTGTTGAGGAGTCCCACACTAGAATGAAATGGACATTCGCTGTTCACGCACTTCTAAGAGTCGCACAATAGAACGAAACTGCCGTCCAGTGCTTCCAGGTTTTCCATGGTTATCTAGCTTCAATTGACTCATGATCTCGACTATTGAAATAAATATTTGTTATTCAATGTTGATAGGATATTTTTTAATGTGTTTATTTTTGAACATTTCGCTTTGCGTCCTCTAAACTTCGTAAACAACACCCCCGCCACGAGAAGGCAATGAATAGGACTTGTCTGGCAGGGGTTGTATTCATGTGCCATGTAGCCTGATTTTTATGTAATATTGAAAGCATGTAACAATGGAATATATTTTATGATTCACAGTATTCTGATGCGATACAAATTTAGTATCATACAAATATATATTCTTACAGATTTTAAGTGACAAACTGATTTCAGTTAGACGTCTGAAAACATAGAATACCTGGGAGGTTGTTTAACTAAGCATGGAGCTTTTCAACAGTCCTCACCCATGGCTTTTCACATTGTCTTTAATGGGT